TAGGAAATATCCGAGGTCGGCCAGCGTCTCCCCTTTTGCGCGTTCAACGGCGGAAACGACGTATTCGTCGACATCGGCGATAAGTCCTGGGGTGTCCTTGCCTGTCAGCGGATCTTCGGCGGGATTGAGGGCAGCAAAACATTGCACGTTGGCGACCAGTTCTTGAGTGCTGGGGCGAACGACTTCAAGGCTCGGTTGGCATGTACGACGGCGTGGATCGCGAACCCGCAGGAGACGTGCCAACTGCTCGACGAGATTACCGAATTGGACGAGGTGCATCAGCGAAAGACAAGATAAGAGCGGCCCGGATCAGGTTGTGCATAGCGATGACATCAGGGTGCTTCGGAAGCTACGGCAATAGGGGTCGTCCATGTGGCGGATAAACTTTGGAGGGGTACACGGCTGCAGTGCGTGTTTGAAGCATGTCGCAGCGAGAGGGATATGGGTCTAGATAACCGTTGAAGATCACAGAAAGGGTCTCAATCAAATCGATATGCGGAGGCAGATGGCGACATGCGATGCGCGTCCGGCACGGCTCTCCTGCATTATGCCTTGACGCTGACTCGGGTGGCTGACCCACTGCATTCTCTGGTACAATTGTCGCGCTAGAAGCTCGAAGGTGACGCGCTGCAGGCACGCATTCATGCAGCGCTGCACGACGGTTGCTGACGCGCGCGTGTTTTGTCCACGTCTTGTTCCTTTTGAAGTCGGGGCAGCAGGCAGGGCGTGTCCCTGGGGAAGGTCGAGGCTGGCGCGCCGTATCCGCAGCGCCTCTGGGTGGTGCAGGGCGCTGATCCCTGCTAACCGTCGTGTAATCCCTGGCCCGTACTCCGCTTCACGAAAGCACCTCCTGAGCTTCCACCCGCCTGCGGCTTCTGCGAGACTCTCTCATCTGCTGCCGCGTCGCTCCCAGCCTTCAATTGCCTCCACTCCACCGCACCTTGGGTTTATTGATCGCCCACCGCAATTTACCACACGAGTCTCTCACCACGACACTGCAATGGGCTCCAACAAGTTCTCGTTTAAGCCACTGACGCTTTCGCCCATCAACTTCTCTCTGACCGAGGGCACGTCGATACCCGCGCCGCTCGACAGCCCGCCCGAGTCACCTCGCCCGCCCACGCCTGGAAAAGGCCCACTGTCATCGCATCCCACCCCAAAGTCGCCTGGCTCCCCGCCGCAGACAGAGTCGCCGCCGCCAGGCAAAGCGTCAGAGGACTCGGCTGATGGCCACCTCCAGCAGAGCCGCACCAGCGATGCGACCAGCGCCATGTCCCCCACGAGCCCTTCGAGCAAGCGGCCTGCATCCGTCCGCAAGTTCCTGGGCATTCGGACGTTGTCGTCCAACGACAGCTTGAAGTCGGACCAGAGGCCGGGCTCGCCGGCTACAATCAACAGCCAAGCACCCAGTCTCAGCAGGAGGAAGAGCGGCAGCTGGTTCGGCAAGAGGAAGACCTTCATTTCCGGATCTGTTCCAGAAGGCACTGTGGATTCCACAACCTACTCGAACGGCCGCACCGTCTCTCAACCTGCCGTACAGGCTGCGCAACCACCCAAGCCCAAGGGCCCACCGCCTCCAGCTCTGCCCGGCCTGAGCTCCTTCGGCGTCAACGAAGACACGCTGAGTCTCGGCGCCGACGACATGTTCAAGAACATAGGAAAGGCAGATGCGCCCAAGTCAACACGATGGTAGCCGCCTAAAACACACTTTCAACGGGGGCATGTTGATGATGCATTTCTAACGGGTTTCGAGTTTAATGTCCTTATTGTTTATACCTTTCACGGGCCACAGGTTGGAGTTTTGAAAATTTGTGGCATCATTATTTTGGCTTGCATGTGCACAACGATACCCCAGTCGATACAGTATAGCGATGAAGTGGCACGTATGAGTGCGTCCGAGATGAGATCTTGTGGCGACTGGGGAGGACGACGGGGTTGGCAGCCTTCCTTTACTCTGGCTTTACATATCACTACCTGCTAGCGTTCCCTTCGACAGTGCGTCTTTGGCCATGGCATCTCTCGCCGCCGGTCGCTATAAATAAACACTCTTACCTTACTACCGCCTCCACCTGCCTCGTATTCAAGATAATCAGACGTCAACAATGCAAGATACGTACCCCACGTGGCGCGGACCAGGCGCGTTGCTGCGGTAGGCTAGCGCGAAACCCTGATCACAACAAACATTGCATAGGCGGGTACGGGTGCATCAACACCAGCCCTACCCCCCTCGGCCTCCCGCCTTGCTGACCCGCGACGTCGCGAACAGACGACAATCGCTGCACAATTGTCACAACACATCGTATCATGGCCGACCCGGGAATGTTCTCGGTCCGCCGTCAGGTCAGTCTAGTGTGCGACCCCCTCTCGTTGCATCTCCTAACCACGCGCGCAGACTCTAGGACCAGTGAACAACAACTCCTCCGCGATCCCCATGCCCGCTTCCGCCATGAAGCGCTCGAGCTCCATCAACAACATGAACCAACCCCAATTCCCTCCGAATCATGCCCGGTCGAAGAGTGGGAGTAGAATGTCCCTCGCGCCCGGTCGCCCGAGCCAGCCGCTCTTCCCACGCTCATCCTCCGGAACAGACCTTGCGCAAGGCTTCCAGTCAGTACATCGCAACTCGACGAGCAACTTCGGTGCAAGCAGTGCGCGCAAGAGTTTTGCGCCAGGTGCCTCCATATTCCAGACACCCGCCCCCCCTTCTGGGCCGAACTTTGAGCAGAGCGCACAACGGCGGAGCAGCGTGTTCAAGTCGCGAGCCTCGCATGTAACTGGACAATCTGGTGTGAAACAATCCTTCTTCCAACAGGCGCCTATGCCATCCGTCCCTCCGACAGACCCGCGCCGACTCAAAGATGCGAGCACCCGTCAGCACATGGCTCAGGAGCTGCTCGAATTCCTGACCCAAAACAACTTTGAGATGGAATCGAAACATGTCCTCTCAGCAAAGGCCATGACTTCGCCAACGCAGAAGGACTTCAACTGCATGTTCCAATGGCTCTACAACCGCATTGATCCCAGCTATCGCTTCCAGAAGTCAATCGACCAGGAGGTGCCAGTACTGCTGAAGCAGATGCGCTACCCGTTTGAGAAGTCAATCATGAAGTCGCAGATCGCGGCTGTTGGTGGAAACAACTGGTACACATTCTTGGGTCTCCTGCACTGGATGATGCAATTGGCACGCCTGATGCAGGCTTATGAGGCCGGTACATACGACGACGCTTGCTTCGAGGCTGGCTTCGACGTCTCTGGAGACCGCATCATCTTTGACTTCTTGTCGGACGCCTACAGCACTTGGCTGTCCGCAGAAGACGACGATGACGATGAAGAGGCGCAGAAGAAGCACATGGAGCCTCACATCCGGACAATGGCAGCCAAGTTCGACGCTGCAAATGCCCAGCATCACGAGCAGGTCTCCCTTCTTGAGGCCGAGCACAAGTACCTGCAGGATCAGATCGAAGAACTTGGAAAGTCCGGCCCCCGGATTCAAAAGCTGGAGGAGCAGATCCGCATTCTCGAAGAAGACCGCGTCAAGTTTGAGAACTACAACAACTCAATGGATGCCAAGGTCAAGAAGTACAGCGACCGCTGCTCCTTCTTGGAGAAGTCCATTGAAGAGATTGAGGCAGAACTTGAGGCCTCAGAGAAGGAGCAGCAAGAGCTCCAAGCTATCATTGACGGTCGAGGCATGACCATTGCGGATATTGACCGTATGGCAAATGAAAGGGACCGCCTTGATACTTCTCTCCAGGCAACGACAGTTCGCTTAGAAGAGTCCAAGAAGCGGGTTGCAGAGAAGGAAATCGCTGCATCGCGCAAATTGGATGAACTCGAACAAACAATCGAGCGATACAATAACCTAGGCTACCAGATTGGAGTCATTCCTTCTACGGCTGTCAATGCCAAAGGACAAGACTACGAACTTGTCCTCACCATTACAGATGGTCCCAATTTCTCCGGGTCACAAATGGGTGGCTCTTCACAAGACGCATCAGACCGTCTTCTGCACGACGCAGGCACAGGGTACTCACCAGCACATCTGCTAAACCTGGACCTCCGCGGTACAGTCAAATCCAACATAATCGCACTTCGCAAAGAGATTGCCGAGCGCCGCAACCAAGCCCTAGAAGCCGACATGAACAACCACGATCTCCTCGACAAGATCAAAGAAGCCATGGACGACAAGCAAGCCGAAGTCGAAGCTCTCGGCCACCGTGTAGCTCAAGCAGAGGAGGAGCTAGAAAAGCTCCGCGAAATAACAAACACGCAAAAGAGCCAATCTGACGCACAGATTGAGCGCATGGAGAAAGAACTAGGCCGTATGCGTAGCGGTCTGGGAGAAAGCGTACAACTGATGGTACAACGAGAGATGGCCGTCAATATCGAGTAAGTCCTTCACCCCTCTTTCTTGTTCCGCTGTCTATGAACAAGGCTAATGATATCTGTCAGGTATGAGCAACTCCAACTCCGCGCCAACGCCCTCCGCGAAGAACTCCACACAGAAATTGAGCGCATGCTCGACGACATCGTGCGCTTCAAACTCCACGTACAGAAGAGTCTGGAGGAATACGAGCAGTTCATCGCCGATGAAGTAGAGCGCAGCTGTGAAGAGCAGGACATGCTCGCCGAGGGTGAGGACGAGGACATGGTCGAGGAGGCGTAAAGCACGTCACTGAAACCGTGATTGATATGAGCGACGGGTTAACGAGTTGGCTATGAGCTTATGATGGAGTTTCTGGTGCTGGATACCACGCTGATGCTGTTGATGGGAGTTTGCTAAGGGACCTTTTGGCAGGGTTGTTTTTACGGATACCTTTCTGAGATACCTCTTGGCTTTTTGGTTCAGCTTATTCAATTGTTCGTTGTTTACGATTATATATGTAAATCTGATTATCCTTGCATATCTTCATATCTCTTCTTCGTACAATATATGGGTATGACCCTCTCTTCTCATCACCCCAACATGCATCACTCCACCCCACCAGATTGTATACCCACTACCCCCCAATCAACCCCCTCCCACTCGTCATCATCATATTACTCAACAGCTCAACCTGGCTCTTCAGCGCCGCCATCTCCGTAGTCTTATCCTTGATCTCCTTGGCCCTCTCCGCCAACTCCGTGGTCTTCTCCTTGACCTGCTTCGTCCGTTCCGTCAACATGCGTCTCAGCTCTGCATTCTCCCGCCTCAACTGGTCGACTTCTATATCGACGGCCTCAGGAGGATTCGGTGGTGGACCGCGATTGTCCAGTGTGGGGTCGATTCGTGAATCTTTTCGGACGAGTGGGAAGGGCGCGGGCGGTTTGAGGGTGTGAGGAGTGGGGTGTTGGTATGTGTTTTGTGGGTGTGGAGCGGGTCGTTGAGTCGGATGGTTTGTGCTGGTGTCGGCGTTGAGTTGTGCGGTGTCGTGGATATCGGCTTCGGCTTCGCCCTCAGCCTCGTCGTCTGAGCTGTTGAGGCCGTCGCCGACTTGTTGACCCGCTGCTTTCCGGGCTCGCTTTATCTGCGCTCGTATGTTGTATACGTCGCGCTTGAAGATGTGTATGCCAGGTAGTCTTGCTTGTAGCACTTCGACTGTTCTTCCAACCCCTCGGTCGCGTCCCTGATTGGGTTCGCCCTTTCGTAGCATTTCCTGCTCAACGATTCTCCAGACGAGACCGCCACGCTCGAGGCTGTGTTGTGGCTTCTTCGGTGCCTGGGTAGATGCGCTGGGTATGTCTTCGTCGCCGTCGGCTTCCGCGTCCACGTCTTCGAGGGTTTCCTGATTTTGCGTCAGGCTCGACTTGGCGAGTTCCTCCTTCGCTGTGACGCCTCCAACCCCGATGCGCCCTCCGACTACACCCCACGTCCTCTTCCGTTGTACAGCCCATCCGGCACTCTCGCGCCCGGGGTGGTTGTGTTGTGGTTCGCCCACGCGCAAGAGCCATGTGCCGTCGTCCTGTTTCTTGCCCTCGATCCACATCTTGCATCCTGTCTTATAGCTGACCCTATTCTTCCTGACCCTCGTCTCGGCTGTAAGCTTATGGGTGTTCTTTGGCTGGCCATAGCAGACGCAGGCGAGCTTGATGCGCGACCGGTTTTTAGCCGTCGTATTGATAGATAGCGCATATCCGTTTTCGGCGGCGTGCGACTGCGCGTAATCGTGGAGGGATTGCCATGAAGGGTGTATCGAGTTGGAAGGCGGGAGCATAGCGAACTGACTGTCGGACGCGTCATTGTCTAGGGGTGCTTGTGCCGAATTGTGCTGGATGCCGATGTAGGATGCTTCGGATGTAGGGCTATGGATCCTGTAGTCGTGATGTTGGCCAGCTAAGCCATGCTGGAAGCTTTCGCGCTTTCCAGACGTGTCGTCTGGGGAGTAGCTGTTATCGTGCTGTTGCCCGTGGTCGTTCATACTGGCAGCATGTTGGGCGTTGGCGGTGGTGGGCTCGCAATAGGCTGCCATGTTGCCGTTGCGGACTGCGACATGATGATGCGACGCGGCATAGGCATCGTAAGGTGGCTGTTGGTTCGCGATGGCGTTACCGTGATTGTACGTGGGGACGTGGTCGAAGTTGTGATGGCGGGCGAAGGTGGCTGCCATGGTTGGTTTGATATGGAGCGCTCTCGCCATGTTCCGGATTACTTCAGCCACGGCCGTTTGTCGCTGTTGGAGATATCCGTCAGGTCTGCGCACATGGCGATTATCTCCAGAATATGAGCTATGCGACTTTGGTCAATGCTGCCATATTTGGGTGGAGAGGTCCCAGGCTCAGACATATTCGTCGCTGGTACGTCGCTCTCTGCGCTTCAGCCGATTGGCTGCCCGGAACTCGAGCATCAATGTTGCCCTCACAACCAAGCAAAGCAAAACGCGTCAGAACATCATTCTACTTTCATTTTGACTACACCAGACGAGGCTTGCAGCGGATGCGCGCGTTGTCCATTTAATATACCCAACGAAGACCGCAGTAGCCTTAGTCCCTTAAGGTGACATCTACCCACATGTCCTTGATCTCCCATAGCCCAAGCGAGTTGAACGTCTTCCATGGTTGCAGTGGGTTGGTCAACGACAGATCAAAGTGCCTCAACAACTCAAAGATGCACTTGTGTATCTCAATCAACGCGATGTTGCGTCCCAGGCAAAGCCATCGACCGTACCCAAATATCATATCGTTGGTCTTCGTCATCCTGGTCAGACGGTCTTTCGCATCCTCGTCGCTTGTGTCGATCAGCCAGCGTTCAGGACGGAAAGTACCACAGTCCTCGCCGTAGAGAGCGCGGTTGTTGCGGTGCATCGTCCAGGCTGAGTAGCCGACCAAGGTGCCACCGGGGATGTGATACTCCTTGTTGTCGATGGTCACGACATCTCCTTCATCTGGAGTGACCCTTGAAAAGATGTTGGCGACTGGTGGATGTATCTGCAGGGTGTACTGTTAGCGCATACTGGCTCAAAGATCCTTGTTCTTTCCAGAAAGGACGAGACGTACTCGCATTCCTTCACGGACGACAGCGCCTAAATATGGTAGGCGGCGCACCTCTGCATCTGAGATGATGCCAGGAGATGCGGGAGCCGTGCCGCTTCTGACGGCTTCATCTATCTCAGATTGCAGCTTTGCATACACGCGCGGATGGCTCATGACATATAGCAAAATGGTCCGAATGGCAGCAGCCGTAGTGTCAGATCCAGCGAGAATCTGCTCGAAGACTTCCTGGACTAAGCACGGTGGATCAGTCGACGCCCGGAATCGTGGGTTACAACACTCATGTCACTTACAAAGATCGTTTCCAGAGAGACCATGGCGGACGAATGATGCGAACATATCAGACTTGTCTTCAGTTGACTTCAACATCCTGGAGTCGACAATCTTTCGTGCTTGAGCCATCATGTTACCGAACCCAGTGGCATCCTTCTCCGATGGACTAATGGCGGGGCCAATTATAGGCGTGTCTCTGAGCCAGGCTATACCCATTGCGAAGGCCGTGTTCCCAATCTTGAGACCCTCTTCGCTCGATTTCAGGTAGTCTTTGAGGTCTTTGTCGGCATTCAAGTCACCGAATGCTTCTCCCAGACCTACATGGCTAATTACGTCCAATGTAAAGAAGGGGATCTTCTGAGCTAGATCCATGGCCTGAGATGGTTTCGTTGACGCTTTCGAGGCCGCATACTTGCGCACCAAAGTCACAAGTTCTTTTACATGGAGGTCTATTGAAGGCTCTAGTGTTGGATTCTCTTTACCAGAGTACTGCAATACGTTAGTAAGTGCAGATCGGCCACGCAGCTGCTCAAATTTCCGCTAGAGGTGCGCAACCTCATCATCCAGATTGTGTATCCACGTACCCCGGCTGTCATCTTCTTCCGTCTGGCATCATGGCTATCGTTGTCGCAATCTGTAAAGACATTGTCTTTCCCCGTCTCAAACCGAGCACTATGGTAATACCATGATGATCGCTTATACGGTGAGCGCACGGCATTGATCCGTGCCCAGTATTCTGGGTCTGATGTTATGAGGTGGTTCGGTGCGATCCTGGCAATCGGCCCTTATGAGGAGTATCAGTATAAGGCCACCAGATCGCGTAGCACTTTTGCCTTCCTGGCACGTACCGTACTTCTCGCAAACCTCGCCGTAGTACCTAGGAGATTGGCCACCGATAACAGCTCTGGAATGCCACAGCCAAGAGAATCCCGTCGTCCTGGGTCCGGCGAGATGTCTCAGACGCAAGTACTGTCGTATGCGGCCGATAGCGAAGAACGCCACAGCGACGAATGCGATGGCGTACAGGCGCTGTGAGACGCTGTCAAGCAATGACTCGGGCGGAACAGACTCCATGGCTTGCCTGAAGTGATGTCAGAGCGCAAGGATTTGAAGTTGCAAATGATGAATGGGAGTTCTTCCCATCAGTGGGGCAACCCTTCGTGAAAGCGCGGGCGCCGTTATGCGCTACAGAAACTAGCGGAGAGCGTTGCTGCAAGCTCCTATTGAACCATTGTTACTGGGCCTGATCGGTCAAGCACCAATTTGGAGGATTGGAGAAGATGCGGAGCTCGCAGCTGCATGGTGACCAAGCCATGTGTTGTCAAAACTTACAGTGCGTGAGCCCCACCAACGAGCAACGTTTGACGGAAGTCATGGCGACATCTGGAACCAAGTCCAATCCCTCACAGAGGATAGCGGGAACCGGAGTGGTTTGCAAGCGTCGCGGCACGTCAAGACTGCTTGCGCTAGCGTCGTGTCTTTGATTGTCAAGGTTCCCCAGCTGGGCGATTGAGGCACGCAACAAGCTGATAGGGCAAGTTTGTACAGCAGCAATGCCGCGTCAAGTGACTCAAGTCTCATCTTACACGAAGCAGTAACCGACTCTTGATGTTTTCGCAATCAAATCTCGTCCGATCGCGAAACTTACTCCAGCGAATCATTCGGTGGAGAACACTCCGGTCGAAAACAGGCTACGATGCGTCGTGTCGAGCCTGCAGGAAGCTCCCGCGATCTCGGTCCACAACCACGTTTTTGCCCTTGTATGCACGTTGGTGTGAAGCATTTCGGACCTCAGCGCCAGTTTGTTCTAGCCCTGTGGAGAGGCGCAGCCTTGATCGTGTTACCGTCTGGGCAGGGTCTTCGTAACGGCACCTACCGTTATTAATCATCTCTCCCTTCTGGTAGGGTCTACCTTTGAATTTTTCCGTACTTTTTCCGCATCTGAAGTCATTCGAGACCCATCAAACGACGTCATAGTAGTTTTTGTATACTCGCTTATCTACTTGCCCCATTTCTTTCCGTGCCGTTGCTGTACGATTGAGGCACAGTCGCGGCTATTGTCACTGGCCTTGACAGCCGCGCTAACAGTCGCTCGAAGAACACTTGAGACTTACAAAACTTGTGGCGGCCAGTTTTCCATTAGCCAAGTTGTTCAGCTTACAGAGTGAAACAGAATCTCTACGATGGCAACTCTTGGAAAAGGAAAAGAGAAGGCAATTGAGGGCGAGTCAGCAACTGCACCATCAGATAATCCAATTGCTGGAGATGGCTCCGCGAACGTTGCGCCACCATATCCTGGAACTGCATCACCATTAAAGGATAATACTGTATCATCTGACGCACCAGAAGAGGCGACCACCTCACCAGATCCAGCGGAAGCATCTGCTGGTCAAGCAATTCTAACGGGGCTTCCCTCAGAAACAGTGGAAGGTCCTGCACCAACAGCGGAAGTTGTCAACCCACTTGTGTTAGTTGTAAGTATTCCAAACTCCCCTTCACATAGTTTGATCATTCATACATGATGCGCCGCGGAACAAACGTCGCAACCCAGTATTTCTCAAGAAGCTTCTAACATCAGCAGGATAGTACAGACGCCGACTCGGCTCTAGGCGACGATGACGCTGCAAGCGACACAACATCCATTGCGTCAACCATACATAAAGGTCGTTTCGAAAACGGCCGCCGTTACCACAAGTACCGTGAGGGCGAAAATGATTACTGGGGCCCCAACGATGAGATCCAGAACGATCAACTCGACATTGCGCATCACATGTTTCTGATCATGCTGAACCAGAAGCTGCATTTGGCGCCTATCAAAGAACCAAGGAAGGTGTTGGATCTGGGATGCGGAACAGGGATTTGGTGTATGGACATGGCCGACGGTATGTCTCTTACTCCATCTCTTGAATGCCATAACTAACTTATTACCCAGAGTACCCCGGTGCTGAGATCCTAGGCGTAGACCTCTCCCCCATCCAACCACAATTCACACCTCCAAACTGCAAATTCGAAATCGACGACGTCACCCTCCCATGGACATACAACCAGCCCTTCGACTTCATCAACATCCGCTCCTTATACGGCTCCATCGGCGACTGGCCAGCACTATACACACAAGTCTACAACAACCTCGAGCCAGGCGGCTACCTCCACGAAATGGAAATGAGCATCCAGTTCAAATCCGACGATGGCACGCTGACCAAAGAACACGTCTTGTCTCAGTGGAGCGATCTCTTCCATGAAGCATCGGAGCGTTTCGGTAAGTCGTTCTACGAGGTGTGGAATTTGTCGACGTATATTCGTAATGCGGGGTTTAAAGATGTCGAAGAGCGGGTGTACAAGGTGCCTGTAAATGGGTGGCCGGCTGATCCACATATGAAAGAGCTGGGAAGGTGGAATTTACTGCATATCACGCAGGGAGCAGAGGGCTGGGGACTGTATCTGCTGACGAAGGTTATGGGCTGGACGGTAGAGGAGGCCCAGATTTTCTTTGCTAAGTTCAGATCGGGAGTGAAGGAGAGGAAGGTGCATGCGTACTTTGAAGTCGTGGTAATCCATGCGAGGAAACCTTGAGAGAGGGTGGAGATGACAGCGCCTACATTATTAATACTCTTGCGCGTCGTTAAGACACCGGGATGCAGTGCAAGAGAGAAGGATCGCAAATTGAAATGATAGCGTCATGATGCGTCGTTGATTAAAGTATTACTTAAAGCCAGGGTATACGCATAGGGAATATCAATCTGAACCAAATACCTCAGCTTCATCTCCGCTCCTTCACGGTGCCTACTTACGATCAGGAGGTGGAGTGGCTGTCCTGGGTACCTCTCCCGATTTTGGATCGGGAAGA